TTTCTTTCTTTCTTTCTTTCTTTCTTTCTTTCTTTCTTTCTTTCTTTTTTTGGATAGGTATCAAATACTTAACCAAAAATGTGAAAGAATTCATCTGGCAAATGTCCTGAGCTTAATGGTATCAGAACAAGGGGAATTGGATGAGTGTTAAAGCAATCCACTTGGGAAGTGGAGGCAGGAGGACTAGGAGGTTTTTTTTTTTTGTCTTTTTAAAAAATAATTTTATTTATTTGAAGTTATTTATTATTATTATTTTATTTTATTTTTTGATTTTTCGAGATAGGGTTTCTCTGTATAGCCCTGGCTGTCCTGGAACTCACTCTGTAGACCAGGCTGGCCTCGAACTCAGAAATCTGCCTGCCTCTGCCTCCCAAGTGCTGAGACTAAAGGGGTGCGCCACCACTGCCCGTTGAACCAGGAGTTCTAAGCCATCCGCTGCTATTTATTTGAATCCAGCCTACACTGAGTCTTTGCTTTTAAAAACATACAAACTTAAATAAAACAAATAAACTTAAAAAAAAAAAGAGCCGGGTAGAGTTGAGTCTTACTATCAAATCTCATCTGGGCAGTCTTGGAGAAATTCATGCTTAGTGAGCTGGGTATGAACCAAGCAAGCTGGGGAATGAATGGCATCCTGACAAGGAGATTCATGCAGCTTTGCCACTAGGAGCAGAAACCCCTCCTTCTTGTTCCTAGCCAGGTCACTCAAGACAGCACCAAGGTACACAGCCTAGTAATAATGTTCAAGACTAGCTCATAAGACAAGATAGGCTTGGTCCAGAGAATGGTAACTAAAGAACACAGTCCAAGATACACCATTTCTCTTGCTGTCTGTGGAAGGATACATTGGATGGTGTGCAGGCGCGGGTTGAAGGTGTTGAGAAGTTGAACGTGAGCAAGGTTAGGTCCTCAAGAGATCAGAGGGCCACGTCTACACCAGTGTAAAAGAACGTAGCGACACATATTTAAGCTAGTGATGAGTGCTGTGAAAACTGGGGGATGTGACTGGGAGTTGGAGGGGATGCAAGGTAGATGTTTCTGAGGCTCGAGTAAACAATGCTTTTCCCTCTGGGCAGCCGCCTGGAGTAAGACAGGAAATCAGGTCGGCTGATTCGGCCGCCGAGGCCAAAGCCTAGCACGGAAAGGCCTTAAGCGACGCGCAGGGACGGAGAACAGCGACCACCGGCAGAGACCTGGCTCTGGGCTGCGGACCCAGCGCGCAGGACCGGGGCTCGGGCCTGGCGGCAGACGATCACCCGAGCTGCCCACGCTGGGTCGAGGCTCTGGCCCGGCTCCGATGCCCGGGCTCTTCGCACAGACCGAGGCCGGCGGGAGGCCGGGAGCGGGGAACGAGGCGGGCGGCAGCATCACACCCGCACGCCGCCATCTAGGCAGAGAGGGAGGCGTCGCGGGAGGGGCGGGGCCTGGCGAGACCCAAACAAGCCCACGTGCGGGCCGGCCCGTCGCGGTGACGTCACGGCGCGTTGGCGCGCGCGCCCGCCTTACCCTTGCCGCGGGCCGTAAAGCGCGGAAGGTCGCGGGCCCCTGCGGTCCCGGAACTTTGCGCTCTGCGTCCCGCCCCCTCCCCATTCCCTGTCCCCCTTTCCGGCCGGCGCAGACCCTCTGCCGCGGTTGTGCTGCCCTTCACTTCCGCCGGGCGTTGCTGAGCGCGCTGCCCGCAAGCGGCGGGCCCGTGAGGTAGGAAGCCGGCTAGGACCTGCTGCTCCGGGCGGCCTTCTGGTCCCGTGAACTCCTGCGCCCCGCACTCCCCTGTCGTCTGAGCTTTGGGCTCCGGCTCCCAGCTATTCGTCCCGGTGTCTGAGGCGGTGCCACCGGTCGGGCGCCAGAATTCAGGCAGCGGAGCTGTGCGGGCCTCGGGGACCGGCGCCGGCCGCCGCGGGCCTGCGCGCGGGCTCTCCCAGGGCGGCCGGGCCTCGGGGCGGGCTGCGGCTCGGGCGGGCACGCAGCTGCTGTCACGGCCAGCTGTGGCCCCGCGTCTCTGCAGGTGGAATGCTTTGCCACCTTGAAACGTGCGTTCCGGCCGTGCTTTACCAACTCCTGTCAGAGACTTATGGCGGTGGGGTTTCCAGTGGGTGACTTGGGGTGACTGTTGTGTATGATCCCGAGGTTCGGTTCCACGGTCTCCAAGCCTACTTCGAACATCTATGCAATCCTGATTTGTAGGGATGGCGATGTGATCGAGGGTCTAGTTATAAAGACGTCCTTTAAGGATCCTCTTTTTGGCGGCGGGGACTTGTATAATTTTTTCAAACTCTTTTGAGCATTGGTGCATTTGTTGAAAAACACTGCATCCTGAACTTGCAGGATCAGACTGTTTACAGTGGCTCATTCTATTGCTTTTAAACTTGTCCTGGTGATTCCTCTGAGTTACATGTGGGGGACGCATCAGTGTACATTTATTTAGCCTTCATTCTTTGTGACCTGTGGCTTATGCTGTTAACAGAGGGAGAATTCGGGAGTTGTTAGAACTGTCACTGTTACTGTCTTTTAAAAACAGAGTCTCGACTGTGTCCCAGGCTCACCTGGATCCTGGGGCATTTCTCCTAATTGAGTATCCAGTGTGGTGGGAATTACAGGTGTGAGCACTGCTCCAGGATTGAGCTGCCACCTTGTTGGTGTAAGATCTGAGCGCAGTCAGTCTGGATCTTAAGGCTGTTTAGAAGTTACTAGTAAAGCTACACAGTTATGTTCACGAATTTCAAGTAAATACAAAACTTCCTGACCTTTCCTTTAGAACGTGTTTGCTGTCTTCAGTGTCTATTTTCCTGGCTCTACCTCCTTTTTCCTGTGAAACTTGCTTGGTTTTGCTGCCAGGCCTTCAGGAGTTGACTCTCAAACTTCTCTTCCTGGTGTAAATTTTTCTTTTTTAAAACTACCTTAAATGAAAAAAAAATATATGTGTATACACACACACATATTCATTTTATTTTATGAGTGTTTTGCTTATGTGTGTGTTTGTGCACCATGTGCTTGATGTCCACAAAAGTCAGAAGAGGGCATTGAATTCACTGGAACTGAAGTTAAAGATTGTGAACTCCATGTGGGAGTTGAGAATCGAACCCAGGCCCTCTGCAAGAACAGTATGTGCTCTTAACCACTGAGACATCTTTCTAGCCTTCTCTGCCCTTGTCTCTTCACTCTTGAAGGTCATGATGATTACAGAGTCAACAGTCTTTTTCTTGGCCTTATCAGGCTGGGCATTAAACATGCTGTGTTCTTTCCTGAAACTCCTGTTTGTTCTTTTCTTTCTCTCTTGCACAGTGAGCATAACTTTATTGAGAAAAAAGTGACAAAGGACTGGAGAATGGGAGGGGTTCTCAGGGAGGAATTCTCTGTTATGTCTCTTTCTCTTTGCAAGTCTCCTTTTCCAGCTAGGGAAAGAGCTTCTGGTTCTGCTTTACATCCCTTCACCCTTTGCTCACCTGGATTTCTTTGCAATGTAGTTTGAGCAGGCCCATGCCTTTAATCCCAGAACTCACTGAGGGAGGCAGAGACAGGTGGAATCCTGTAAGGTCTAAGCCACCTTGGTTTAGGTAGCAAGTTTTAGGCCATTAGCTGCAAAATGACACCCTGTCAGGGGGGGGCGGGGACACGAGAGTGCATGAGAGCGAAAGCACAAGTGCAGTAGCAGAATTAATTATAATAAGTGGTAGGGTTTTTTTTTTTCTTTCCCTTCCTCTTGTTCCAACCCGGCTTGCTATGCTTCAAAGATTTTTATTATTATATGTAAGTACACTGTAGCTGTCTTCAGACACACCAAAAGAGGGCTTCAGATCCCATTACAGATGGTTGTGAGCCACCATGTGGTTGTTGGGATTTGAACTCATGACCTCCGGAAGAGCAGTCAGTGCTTTTAACTGCTGAGCCATCTCACCAGCCCAAGTCATAGGTTTTGATGCTAGATTTGGAGTTTAGTCTTTGCGTATGGAGTAGTCATTTTACATAATTTTATACTTTATATGTAAGTTTTCTAAAGTACAGAACACAAATTATGTCTCCCCTATAGGGTTGTGCTTAGGTTAGTTGAATACTTAGGAAGTGTCTTGCACATTGTAACTACTAACAGAGATCCAAACTCAGGGCCTCATACTTGCATAGCTGCCGCTTTACCTGTTGAGCCGTCTTCCCCAGCCCTATATGTGTTTATTGAAATAGGGCCTCGTTTAGCCTGGACTTGCCACACAGCTTCGGATGATCTTGAATTCCTGTTCCTCTGCCTCTACCTTCTCACTGCTGGGATACACTTGTCTACTGGCCTAGGGGTTCTTGTTATTGAGGGAATGATATACTTTCTCTCTCTCTTTTTGAAAGATTTATTTATTTATTATTTATATGAGTACACTGTAGTCAGACATACTAGAAGAGTGAGTAGGATCCCATTACAGATGATTGTGAGCCACCATGTGGTTGCTGGGAATTGAACTCAGGACCTCTAGCAGAGCAGTCAGTCCTCTTAACCACTGAGCTGTCGCTCCAGCCCAATATTCTTTTTCTCTCTCCTATCTCCATTCTTCCTTCATCTCTCTCTCCTTCACCCCACCCCACTCCTAGCTTCTGAGTGCCGCTTTGACATCAGTTACCCTTTTGTATTGTATTGTTTGATTTAGACTTTCCACAGCCATGTGAGAAAAATGTTTCTAACTCATGTTAACAGATAAGGGATCTGACACACCAAAATGTGGTCAAAGTTGTTCAGGTAGTCAGATGTAAGGAGACTTGATATCTACATGTGTAGTAGATTTTGGATTCCCCCACTGGGTTGCTGTATTACTACTCCACTCAAGTGCTTTACAGATAATTGGAGAGGAGGAAAAGTTCTGGGAGAAATAGAATATCCTGGGAGAAAACAGAAGACTCCCTTACCCAAAGGCTGCACTGAGATAGGGGTAGAATAGGCTGTGTTCTGAGGAGATGTCTCTGCTCAGTAGACAAGTGGCAGGAACTTTGCCAGTTAGAGAGACAGTGCACACAGGTCCTGGGCATGCAGGAGAAAGTTAAACCTGACTTGTTTTGAGGAGTTACCAGTAATCTGTTCCAGCTTGGTGAGAGTTTGAGAGGCCAGAACAGTGAGGCCAGAGATAGCCAGCTTGTGAAGTGCTGCACTGTGTATTGAGGATCTTTGACTTCTTCCTGCAAGCATTAGCCCGTCACTGGAAGGTTGTGAGAAGGGCAGTGAAATAAGATGTCCGTTGTGGAAGACTGTTCACTCACGCCTGTGTATGGACTGAGGTCTGTGGGAGAAAAGTGTGCACTGAAGGTAGGAGCTACAAGCCTAGAAGCTTCCACATATGTTGGCAGGGGATTTGGAGAGAAGTAGATGGATGTGTGTGAGATTTAGGATGCACACTAGATGAGGGAGGTCCTGAGAAATGACTAGAGAAGAGAAATGAGAAAGGGAGAAACCAGGTGACACTCTGGATTCTAATCTGAGGAGCCCTTGGGGACAGACACAGTGTGGAAGGGTGGGAGTGAGGAGGTGTTTGCATTTAGATGTGCTGGGATTTCCCTGTGGGATCAAGTAGGTGTGGGCATTCTGCACTTGATAAACAGATCTGAAGCTCAGGGTGCAGGATTCTTGGGTCAGGCCATGCATCAAGGGGACACTAAAATCGGGAAAGCTCAGGGCAGAAGACAGGCTCCAGCAAAGAGCTGTGACCCAGGAACTATAGAGGTGAAACCAGGAAGCTGTGTTCAAGTAGGAAGGTCTATGGTCTTAGTGGTGTGGTATGTGAGAGATATCCTCTAAAACCAGCAAGTTGGGTGTCCTCAGTGAGAGGTGTCAGTGCTCTGGTAGGGCCAAAGCCCTGTTCTTGTTACAAGGGATGCTTTCTGTTTAATAATTTACTGTTAAGTGAAAGATGGGTTCTTGAAAGTCTTGTCTGTCTGTCTGTCTGTCTGTCTGAGACAGGGTCTGACTATATAATCCTGACAGTGTAGACTTGGCTGGCCTAACTGTGCTGGGGTTAAAGATGAGGTACCATCATACCCAGCAAAAACTTGTTTTATATTTAATATAGTGCTGCTATGAAACACAAGGTCTTAAGTTTGGGCAATAGTTTGTTCTCTCAACAAAATTTACTTACTCAGGATTTTTTTTTTTTAAGATAAGGTCTTTCTACGTAGCGATTACTATCTTGTAACTCATTATGTAGACCAGGCTGGCCTCAAACAAAAGAGAGCCAGAGTTCTGCTTGCCTCTGCCTCCTGAGTGCTGAGAATAAGGTGTGTGCCACCACTTCCATCCTCAAGGATACATTTTTGTTTAAAAACTTCATTTGAGGATTGGAGAGATGGCTCAATGGTTAAGAGCACTGGCTGCTCTTCCAAAGTGCTTAGGTTAAATTCCCAGTACCCACATGGTATCAACAACTGTCTGTAACTTCAGATCCTTAGAAGGGGAACAGAATACTCACAGGAGGCAATATGGAGATAAAGTGTGGAGCAGAGACAGAAGGAAAGGCCATCCAGAGACTGCCCCACCTGGAGATCCAGCCCATATACAGTTGTCAAACCTGGATGCTATTGCGGATGCCAGAAAGTGCTTTCTGACAGGAGCCTGATATGGCTGTCTCCTGAGAGGCTCTGCCAGAGCCTGACAAATACAGAGGTGGATGGTTGCTGCCAATCATTGGACTGAGTTCGGTGTCCTCAATGGAGGAGTTGGAGAAGGAACTGAA